AAATGACCCCAAAGAATAATTGGAAAATAATATCAGTGACTTATAGGTGAATATACAAATCAGATCAAATAATTATCTTCCTAATTCTCTCCCTTTCTTCCAGATTTAAACTAATCTTAAAGAATCTGCTATTGCTTTTACTTTGCCTCTCATACAGTTTTGTGGATTTTACAAGTCTACAAGGGGCAGATGTGACAATTTATCCTGTTATATGTGTTGCATTCATGTTACTTTGTGTCTGTCTTTACTTTAATCTGCCTTATCTCAGAGGATGGGTGATAGCGAGATGCGGGGGTGCTGCCAGGCTGTTCTGACCCAGGGACTGGAGTGTCCCGTGTATCTCTCCATTTTCTGGTCTCTGGCTCTCCATGTCAGGAGATAGCAGCCAAACAATTGTTGAGGTTGTCTTGACACTTTAAGGAACCAGTATTGGAATAAAGACCCTAATTATTGTTGCTGAATTGATACTGATCATGTGTAATAAAATCATTTTTATGATATTAAATATTTGTAAGAATGATTTGTCCTAGAATTTGGAAGCAATATCTTGAAAAGTTTGTGTATATTATTAAAGCCACAGATACGTAAAATCAGGACCATGCTCTTACTTTTCTAAGATTGTATGCTATTAGCAAAGTATAGTTGGTGATAAAAATTCACGTGCTCTAAATTTGTATATCTGCCTGGTGTACTTTATCTGATAAATGTCAGCAAGCTGGGATGGAAGGGATATGTAGAAATATTCAAGGCAGTTTGGTCAGGTATAGAAATCCAAAAAAGAAACTAAGGCATAAGCCAGGGTAGAAGTCTTAGTGATTTTAAGATTTTTAGTATTTACCATTGGAAAACCAGAGGCACTTAATTGTTTAGCACTTTTTAAAAAATTTGATAGAATTATTAAGTTTCAGTGATAGGTATGGAAAGATTCCTCTCTGCCTCCACACTAATAAGATTGTTAGTTCACGTTCTCACATATGATAAAACTTGGACCTTGAGTATGTTAAGTGAGTATGTGAAAACAGTGCTGTTTTGGTCAACAATAAATATGAAAATATGTAGGATTGTTAGGCAGCTTTCACGGGGGTTTTGCACTGCTGGAGGAATCTTTAGGAAGTTACTTCAGTAACAACTTTTAGAGTCTATAGTTGCTTTAAAATATATTGTCATATGGCAGTTAGTTACATGATTATTACAGTTGAGAGGTTCACAGCTGGGAGGTTATTTGGGGAGGTGTATAGGTATTTTTGATTTTCAAAATGATCAGAGGCACTGTTGGCATTGACTTTGCAGGGCAGTGCTAGGTGGCTGTAATCAAAGGGGCAGACAAGGTGTCCAGTCCAGTCCAAAATGCAGTGGTCTTCTGTTGAGAGACACTGCCAGATTCTCAATTCTTGTGTTTAACATCTTTTGGTTTTAGTAGAGTTTAGTCAAGGATTTAATTTTTTAAATATCATCTGAGAAGTCAGTGTTGGATTTGCAATGCATTTGACATTATAAAATATTTTAGATATATAATTTGACAATGTGTGAGTCAAGGGAGAAAAAAGAAAATGAGAGTCTGGTTTTGGCAATTGGGATTAGAAGTGATGGAGAGGAGAGAGTCCAAGCATACACGTATATAGTGAACCCTTAAAAAAAAAAAAGTTAAGATCATTTTCTCTGGAAAGAAATGATGAGTGCATTCCTATTAGGACAAAGAGGGAACAGACAGTGCAGAAAGTAAGAGAGGTTATTAATCGTTTAACAACCTGAACTATGTCATAATTTTTTATTAAGAAAAAGTGAGATTCATTGAGATAACAAATGAAAGACTAAAACGTTTTAAGTACTTTAATTTTTGAGTTCTTTGGGATTAGAGGCTAGATGCCATGGTATCTCAGTTGTTTGAATTGTGCCTCTGAGCCAGCAACTACAAAAAGGGAGGAAGGAAAGGAGGAGAGTGTTAAGTGAAGGGGAAAAAAGCAATGACAAGCAGATGGGAAGGGGGCAGCAATATCTCCTTTGATGAAAGAAAATGGCAGCTCCATCCTTTGGTGTCCTTAGGATAAAAATCTTGGTGTGCTCCCTGACTTCCTCTTCTTTCATAGCTAACATCTACTCTGGCCGCAAATCTTGGGGGCTCTGTTTTTAAAATATATCCAGGATCTGATCACTTCTCACGTCTCTTCTATATGGGCCAGGTTGCTGCCATCTCTTGCCTAGATGGGGGTGTTAGCCTCCTGAGAGGTCTGCTTGCCCCCATGCTGCTCCGTTAGGGTCTCTTTTAAACCTAAGTCACATCAGGTGTGCCACCTTGAACCTTCCAGTGGCTTTCCATCCCTGGATGGAAAAACTCTAGCCGTTCTGGTGAACAGTGCTTACCTTGCAAAACTCCATACTTTATCTGCCTCCCCTCCCCCATCCCCACCTCACCCCCCCCCCCACCTTTCTGAATCACCTCCTCCACTTTCCCTTTCATTCACTGTGCACCTGTCACCATCCTTGCCCTCCCTCAAACACCCAGGCACGCTGCCGAATGGGGTTTCTTACTTCCTTATGATGCTCCTCATACCTTCCCAGCCTGCAGGTCTTCTCCCGGCTTCTATGCCAATGTCCCTTTCTTACTGAGGCCTTCTCTGACCGCACTGCTGGAGTCACAGGCAGAGAGACGAGATTGTAGTTCCTGTCTCCCTCTCCCTACCACCTCTTTATTTTTCCCTAAAACACTTTTGTTATCTGACCTCCTGCCCACTTTACTGATTTGTTTATTGCAGTCTCTTCCCCGAGAGGGCAGGGATTGTTCTGCTTACTGTTGAAAACAGTGGTTGACACATAGTAGGTGGTAAGGCGAGGCAGGAGTAAACAGTTGGTGAAATATGGTTAAGAAGCAATGGCAGGGGCGCCTGGGTGGCTCAGTTGGTTAAGCGTCTGCCTTCGGCTCAGGTCATGATCCTGGAGTCCCTGGATCGAGTCCCGCATCAGGCTCTCTGCTCGGCAGGGAGCCTGCTTCTCCCTCTGACCCTCCCCCCTCTGATGTACTCTCTCTCTCTCTCTCATTCTCTCTGTCTCAAATAAATAAATAAAATCTTTAAAAAAAAAAAAAAGCAATGGCAGAAACCCGTTATGAGAGTGTCTGAGTTATCCTGACCTTCTTGAACTTGTCTTGTTAGTTGAGGATGCTAGTGCTTGACCTCTGTAAAAAGCAACTGGGCTGATTAATGTGAAGGTGTAGCCCAGTGCCTGCTGGTCTTAGAAGACACCTCATAAATGATAGTTGTGATGATGATACTGATGATTCTCGTGGGAAGGAGAAGACGACAAGCTGAAGGAAATGGTCAAGCATCATAGCTCTTTCCAAAGATCTTTCATGACAGCATTTGCATTTTACTGCAGGTTTTTAGTTCTGTTCCTTAAAGAGAACTCCCTATGGCCAATGTTAGTAAATCCATCCATAAAGCTTAGTAAGAGGGAAAGTGAAACTGCTGACATTTTATTCACTTCTGGGTGCCACGTTGTCCATCACGGTCCTCCTGGTGGACTGTATGGCATTCAGTAGGCATTGATGTTAGAGGGGGCAGGGGAGCGCACACCTCAGTGGGTGACAACCAGATACACTGTTTAACTTCCTAACGATTTCAAATCTCATAGAAAAGGATCAATTCTGCTCAATAGGAGATGTATACTAAGGAAAGGCATGTTAAATATATATGAGAGAGATGTTCAATGTTAAAATTTAAAGAGATGGACTTCATGGGTTAACCTCCAGTTATCTGAAATCATATTCACAGAGTATTTCCTTACTCAGAGTTTATATGGGTCTGGCTAGCACTGAGCTCTCTAACAAGATGCAAGTTACATCCCTGTTCCAATTGTGACTAAAAACTAGTTCAGATGACCAGGTCCTGACTTAAATATAGTGCCTTTGATGGTTAAAGGTGATCAGGTGAGTGTGGTTAAATAGCCCAAGGGAAAAAAAAACCCCAAACTGTCCTTATTAATGAACTGGGGTAAAATGTCAAAGCACTGTTTTTTTATGATAGTGGGCAGGCCATATATTCTTCTAAGATGAAGAATGTCATGAAGTCACACATCCCTTGGTTTGTTAGCAATTAGAACATAAAAGTTCTCCAATGTGAGCGGAGTCTTGTGGATCTGGGAAGGAGGGAGAATCTTAACAGATTCTGTTAAAGCGAGTTGACGAAGAAATAGGAGACCTGTGCCTGATGGTATGTGTGTGTATGTATATCTGCCGGAAGCATTTAGAATGTCACTGTGGAAGTGAGTGCCACTTAAAGTGGAACGACTTTCGTTTATTGTGAGGGACTTCCAGTGACTCCTGGGATGTCCGTGACAGAAAGGACCATCTTAGAAACAAGTATGTCATATGCATTTACAAGAAATGATTTTGTCTTAACGTTTCAGTGTACCATGAATATACTGAATAAAAATTTTAAAGGAATAATTGCAGTTCTTTCCAAACAGCTTTTATTTAAAACATTTGCTTTTTACTACAAGGGTTTTGTTTTGTTCCTCAAGGAGAACTCCCTGTGGAAATGTTAGCCAGTCCACTTTTCTACTTCAAGAACTTGAAAAACTAAATAATGTAAAGGGTCTAATTGTGCTTGCATTCAACACAGTATTGATATAAGTGGAAGAAGGACATTTATTTACATTGCATAATAAATTACTCAGCAATGCTTTGTGTTTCTGACTATTAACAGAGCTAATCTGTTTCTTCTTGGGAATGATGCAATTTCACAGCAAAAATTTGATGTCATTCTAATGAGTCTGCTTTCAATTGTAGAGTACAATGAAGGCCTAGGAAAGATTAGTAAGAAATCTATTTTATTGTAGATAATAAATCTGCGAAGTAAGCTCTCAGCATAGATTGAAGTTGATCTGTGGCATGGAGTTGCTTTATGAATAGCCCTTTGAGCAAACTCTACAGTTCTGTATGTGGTTTTAAATCACTGTAAATTTGTAGGCAGGTACATATTACAATTGTCTGTTTTTCTTTTTAGGGCTCATGTAATCAAAGAAGTTTCTTTGTTGTGTGTATCTTTTCAGAACACAACAGGAATTGAAAATGAATCAGGTGAGTTTGAAAATAAGAATTTATACAAATACATTATCTAGATGTTAGACCAGTTCTTGATTTTTAAAAGATCAAAACACACACATTCATTTCTCCCAGATTTTCTTTTCTGTTTCCTAGTACCATTGACTAGTTCACTGCTTTTGTAGTGTGCGTTTGTTCGTGGAGTGGTGTGTGCGCTGTTGCGGCGTGGGGGTTGGCGTTTCCGTGGAACCCTGCGCAGGGGACTGGTTCTCTGAGACCTTAGTTCAGACTTTCTGTTTCTGCCTTTCCCCTGCCACACTGTAGTGTTAATTTTTTGTTTTTGTTTTGAAGCTTACTGAGCTTTCATTTTTAATACTTTTTGTTTTGTAAATTATCCATTGGTTGAAAAGGGAAGATTGAAATTATTTTTAGAGACCGAAACTGATCAAGTGGGAAGCTTTATAAGCATTCTGTCCTTGAAAAACCTGTGGATAGAATAAAAATAAGAAGGCGGATTTTAAAATGTAAGATGTGTTTCTCCTTGTAGGAGGGTGTGGGACTACCTGGGGATTAAACAATTCTGCTATGGAGATTTCTGTAGCCTCAGGGGTGTTCTGATAAGTAAAATCAGTTATGTGGACTTGATGTATTCTAAAGGATTCTGAGGATTCTTATTTTCTAGTCTTAATATCATTTCACTTGTAGTTAGAGAAATTCATGGGTGTTAGAAACACTCTCTTTTGAGATCATAATAAACACATTTAAAACATATGAAAGGCAGAACTTAAAAATGTGGAGTCTAATTTGTAGTGCTTAGCTTAAAACTATCAGACTTGAAAACGTTTTGTGTCCCTCATTATCTGAAATTTTGGACACCTTTTTATCATTTAGAGGTGCTTCTAACTGAAGTCCCAATTTTATTAGGGTGGCCACGTTTAATAAGTTCAGTCCTGTGTTGCACTGAGAGATGTGAAATTTTTGGAATGGATCCTTCTGATTTCTTTTCATTACTTTCTTTTATCAAAAATACATTTATTTTAATGTGGAGGACCATACATCATAAAAAATGAATCTGGCGAACACATGGGGCACATGGTTTCTATTATTTTGCAACTTGCAGATTTACTGACATGCTTTTGAAGCCAAATTATTTTTGAAACGGTGAGATGGGGGAGGGGAAAAGAGAACAGAGTGGATTTTCATAGTCCTTGTTCATCAAAGTTACATGCATATATATGTCATACATTTCATGTATTTTTCTCTCTGAAGACTGATTGCATATATATGTGAACCTGGTCACCCAAAGGAACTTGCTTTTCTCCCGCCTAGGAACTGTTGTTAGAAGAACCTCAGGATTCTGGATTAGAACGATTGTGAATGCTTCCAGAGTGGAATCCAAATATTGACATTGCTTTTGGGGCATCACTGTTCAGCAGTCAGTTATTTCAGGTGGCTATGACTTTACCTGTAGGCTTAATAAGGCTTTAATTCTTACACTGTATTTGGCTACTCAGATTTTATTTCTAACGTCTTTTGACCTGCTTGACACCTCACACTTTCACTTTATGGTTCCTTTTATATCAAGTGACCTTGTGTTTAGAGAAAGTCCACATGCCATTCAAAAGAGCTGTAGCCATAACCTTTTCTTTTTTGGCTCTTTTACAATTTCATTTTGTTTCTGACAAGTTTTAATATCAGATCTGCAGAGGACTGCCTTTGATGCCAAATGCCAAATATCAGTGGAAAAGTGTCCTCTTATGTTTCTAATGGTTAGCACATTTCTGATTTGGATGTAATTTAAGTGGTCTGGTAGTAATGAAACTTTTATTTGGATTATAAAAATTGTCCACTTTTTATGGGTAAAATTTTCAGCATCTTTAGTTATATTTTCCTTATCTGAGGGATTTTAGTTGCATGATGTTATTATGTCATGGCATAAAATCGGTGAGTGTTTTTCAACAACTGTCTCAGTAATTCTTACCAGTTAAGAATTGTTTCAGGACATTTTATTTTTTCCCCTCTTATATTTATTCTTCTCATTTTCAACCAGTGAAAAATGAGCAATCAGTACCTCAGAAACTTGAAAGTAACTACAAAAATTTGGGTATTAAAAAAGTTTTAACTTGAACCAGATTGATTTTTTTTTTTTAAGCTTATTTATTTAAACAATCTCTATACCCAGCGTGGGGCTCGAGCTCACGACCCTGAGATCAAGAGCCTCATGCTCCACCAACTGAGCCAGCCAGCCAGGCACACCTGAACCAGATTGATTTTTTTTTTTTTTTTCTTTTCTTTTAAGTAGGCTCCATCCCTAGTATGGAGCCCAATGCAGGGCTCGAACTCATGACCCTGAGATCATGCCATGAGCTGGAGCCAAGAGTCAGATGCTTAACTGACTGAGCCTCCCAGGCGCCCCTGAACCGGATTGATTTTTAATTAAAATCTTAACGGTGATGTTACGGTCAGATTATTCTCTCTAGGGACTGAGCAACCGTGCTTAGATGAATTTTAGCAGTTAGCATTCAGATCTATCTCTTATGGTGGTCATGGTCTTGAAGACAGTAGCACAGTATCATTCATTCATATGTGTGTGCTGGTTGAGGTTTAGGGACTGAATGATCCCCGGAGTGAGCAGACCATATTGTTTGCAAACGGGTTCTTTAGAGGAAACAGCAGACTCGGAAGTCTCACGGTATTTTAAGAGCTGACTACTGAAGCAGTGTTCTGATCTCTCAGTCTTAGACCAGTGTTCTTCCAAGTGGCTCCTGGTGCGGTAGCTCCCCAGGCTCTCTCTCTTACCCCAGCTCCGGGCTCCACAAAGCTTCTAGATCCACATGTTCTTTGTCCTTCCTTCCCTTCTGCTTTGTTCTCTACTCAACACTTACCCCTTCTCTTACCTTCCCAGCTTAGAACTCCGCTTGCTTTGCCTGTGAGCCTTTGTTCCTTCCAGTTCGGTCCAGGCCTGGTTGGCAGGCAAGAGGAGAGCCACTCTACTCTTCCACTTCATTCTCCCATTTTCTTTTCTCTCCATTGTAAATCACAGATACCCTTTCCTTGCTTCATTTGCATTCCACACCCACCGCAGTATTTAAGTTTGGAGATGTTCCCCTATTTTCCTCCCTTTCTCCCCCCAGACTTATCTAGGAGAATCCAAAACTTTATAAATTACTTTCTTATTGAATAGAGAGTTTAGAGTGCTTTACTTTATAGAATATCAAGGGTGAGCAAAGTTCCGTAATTTGAATATGCTCATGGTAGTTTAAAATAGATACGCTGGAGTTTACTACCACTTCCTGTCTACTGAGTGCTTAACCAACATGCCAGGCACTCCATTAGGTATTGCACACATTATTTTCTCATTCATTCAGTCTTTGCAACCATTCTCTGAAGTATAGGTATTACCTCCATTTTAGGGGTGAAGGCATTAAGGCCCAGAGAGGTGGCCATGGCTTGTACATGACCACGCAAACAGTAAGTGATAGAGCTCCCATTCACATCCTCGCTTGTCAGATTCCAAAGCTCAGGTTCTTGGCCACCATGCTATTACTGATGTATCAGTCAGGATAAGCTGTGTTATGCTGTGCTAACAAGCAAGCAGCTCCAAAATCTCAGGGGCTTAACTTGGCATCCTTTTATTTCTTGTTCTCTCTGCGCATCCTGTGTGAATCCACTGTTGTAGTTGCTCAATAACCAGAGATGATGAAGGCTTTGTCTCAATATACATCACGTCTACTCATATTTAATTAGCCTGAGGTCATCATATGGCCACATCTAACTTTAAAACAAGGGTGTTAGGGGCTGGCCGGGGTGGGGGTGGGGGCAGTGCAATCCTGTCAGGTGCCTGGGAGGAGAGGAGAGCTGTAGTATTTTGGGTATAGCCTCAGTGATTTTTCCCCAGCTTTGTTGAGATATAATTGACATGGAGCATTGTGTAAGTTTTAGCCCTAATGAGGTAATACAACTGTCTTGGTTTCTGATTTGAGTCACAGGTTTTTTTTAAAACCATCTTTGGGTAACTCAAGTTGTTCCTGGTATTTGAAACTTTCTATCAACATAGTAGCTCATGATTGCAGCATCTCTACATCCTGATCAGTGATCTAAAGTATTGCCAGTAGCCTGTAGCAGAACAATTTGGCAACTTAGCCTTCTAGACTTTTAAAAAGTTTTATGTAGTAAAATAACAAAAGTGGTTTTTAATCACTGGATGCTGCAGATACACCCTGAGAACTGTGATAAGCCAACCATAGTTGCATCATCTCCGCTGTTCTGGATGTTCATTCGTTCCCCCGTTGTTCCTGTGTACACTGCACCCCAGCATGTTGTGGATTCTGCAGTGAACCAGACAGGCAAGGGCTCTGCCCTGCAGCTTACCTAGTCAGAGAGAGACAGTTGAAAAGCAGCAGACGAGACAATTTCAGCTCGTGAAAAGTGCCTTGCAGGCAGTGAAACCCAGTAGTGTGGTAAAGAATGATGAATGAAGGCAGGGGAAGGTTCTTTGGATTCCACGGTCAGGGGAGGCTGTTCTGAAGAGGTGACTAACAATTAAAACAGAGACTCACGTGATCGCCAAGAATCAGATATATGAAGATCCAGGGAAAGAAAAATCTCGGTAGAGTGAGCCAATAATGAGTGCAAAGGCCCTGAGGTGGGAGTGAGCTTGCTGGTTCAAGGGCACAGCAGAGCAGGCTGGGGGCTGGAGCTTGGCGAGCATCAGGGACTCTGGGACAAAATGAAGTTGGGGAGGGGCAGGGGTCAGATTCATAGAGCCTTAAGGGCCATAGAAAGAAGTTTATATTTTATTCGAATTGCAGTGGAAAGCCACTGGACCGTGACATCTGTATTCCATTTTTTAGAGCATCACCTTTATCTTTATTGGGCATGAGATAGCAATAAGCTTGTTTATTATTCAGATTAACACCGTATTTGAGGTTAGTTTCTCCAGTTGGACAATTTAATGGGCCTGCCAGCTTTGTGAGAGAGGGCACTCTTTTATGTGTTTCAGAACTATTCGATATATTTGTTTTCCAGAGACGGTG